CGCCAGACACACCAACCGCCAACGAGGTCGCGATGCCGTTGTAGCATTGTCCTTAATACAGCACTGGCCACATCGCTACATTACTACATCTCTACATCGCTATACAACACTGCATAGCTACAATACATCGCCAGACACACCAACCACCAACGAGGTCGCGATGCCGTTGTAGCATTGACCTTAATACAGCACTGGCCACATCGCTACATTACTACATCTCTACATCGCTATACAACACTGTATAGCTACAATACATCGCCAGACACACCAACCACCAACGAGGTCGCGATGCCGTTGTAGCATTGACCTTAATACAGCACTGGCCACATCGCTACATTACTACATCTCTACATCGCTATACAACACTGCATAGCTACAATACATCGCCAGACACACCAACCGCCAACGAGGTCGCGATGCCGTTGTAGCATTGACCTTAATACAGCACTGGCCACATCGCTACATTACTACATCCCTACATCGCTATAACACTGCATAGCTACAATACATCGCCAGACACACCAACCGCCAACGAGGTACAGCACTGGCCACATCGCTACATTACTACATCCCTACATCGCTATACAACACTGTATAGCTACAATACATCGTAAAACATCCCCCCGTTTACGAAACACCTACTAACCCACCAACCATAAACGTAGCACCGGCCACATTGCACATTTTAATATATCTCTTTATCGTTAGCTAAATCATGTACGCCAGTTGCAACGATCACATCCCCCACCCAATAGCCAATTACTAAACGATAGTTTATCAAATTGAATATAAAATTAATTTTAATTGGATTGTTGTCAGTAATCACGCAGCTCTGTTTTACACGTCCCAAATAAGGTGGGATCAGTGTTGTGTAAAACTGTTGACCGACATAAAACAATACGTGCCTTCCGTCGCGGCGCGTGCGTGTGCGTGTGTGTGTGTTCGTCTCACGTGATCTCACAGCTCACAGCGGGTGTTTTGACCTGTTGAAATGGCGAGTGAAGAGTGAAGGGTAGCCCACCCTGCTATTTAGATTGTACAAGCGCAACAATTGATTTATTGTTTTTACCAAATAATGTAGGTAGGCCTATTATTTACCTTAGTTCAAAGCCAGTTTCTATTGATTCGTTACTATCCAGGTGCCTTGTTGCGATTGTTGCATTTTACTAACACATATTTTACATTGCAAAGTACAATGCACCCTGCTATCATTGGCTTTTGGGTCACAGCATCTTCTAAGTTGCTCAACATGATTTTGACTTGGTTTTAGGGTTAGTCAGTGTTTCCCAACCTTTTTCCGTTCAGGGCACATTAACTAGAACAAGTTTGGAGTCACGGCACACTCGTCTACAAAATATCGTTGGTTAAAATTACATTTAGTTAGTGCGCATAAAAAATAGTTTTTTCCAATTACATCTTATTCTGTATAACCTATTTTTTACTAGTAAATATATGTATGTATATAATATAAAGGTGGGTTTACAAAGGTAAAAAATATAAAACTCACATTTTTGTTATCCAACATATGTGCATTATTTAGTGTTTATTAAGTGAAAATCTTTAAATAATAATAAAACGTTGAGCTTGATTAAAATGTTGTATGAATTTACCAATAATGAGTGAGAAATATTAAATAAACCCTGGTTTCAGTTCTAGTGGGAAACTTGTGCTTGACGTTTGTTTGGGTACAGTTTCTTAACTGGGCTATGCTAATATTGATTGAAACTATTGATTCGATAAGTAAACCTTCATGCGATTTTTTCACTATCAGCAAGTTTGGTTGGTTAGGTTAGGTTATGATAGTTTAATTTAATAATAGATATATTTAAAAATATCGATTATTAATCAATATTTTCAATTTGATAGTTTCAATCGATATTAGCATAGCCCAGTTAAGAAACTGTACCAGTTTGTTTATGAAAAGTTTCTTTCTTGATCAAAAATTGTCTTAACTACTTAAAATTTCGCGGCACACCTACAGAGGCCTACTGGCACACCAGTGTGCCGCGGCACACTGGTTGGGAAACACTGGGTTAGATAGTGAGTTACCATATATTCTGCACCTCCATCACAGACTCCCACTTATCCGTACTCATCGGGACCGAAGCCAATCTGGACATTGGGTTTTCCGGATAAACCGACGTCCCCTAAAACTCGTTAAATTAGGGACGTCTGCACTCTATAAGCCAATAGTGTACGTGATCAATGGTATCAAATAATTCCTAGAAAAGTCGTTTGAGTAACGTCCACTTCCTGCCGATCTAGTTCAGTTGAACCGATGTGCCGATAAAATTTGCCCCGAGATGTCACATCTGACAAGTTTAGTCCGGTTAGGTGTCCGGATAAGAGATGGTCAGTCTACTGTATTGTGTGCTCAGTATCTTCGGAAACTACAGTAGTATGAAATTAAACAGAATAGATTTAAAAGATAACAGAATAGAAGAAAAATATTGATTGTTCTATTGGTACATAGTATATCAATATTGAATTATAGTTAACTGAGTGTTTTGGAATAATAATTAAGCTTTTGCTACAAATTTTGAAAAACTATCTGCTTGGTCAACAAATTATATTCGCCTTAAGTCACAAAGATGCTTTGGTGCGTTAGTGTTTTGGCGAGGCGATTACATAATTGAACTGTAGATTCAGACACTGATTTCCTTGTTTTGCTAAACATATTAGGTCTTTGGCTCCCATTTAGATAACAGATTTATCCCCATTATATAAATCCTTGGTGGTAACATTCACCTTGAGAGATGCATCACTTTGTGCGTGTATAGTGACGTAACAAACGATCGTATAGTTGAAAAGTGACGTAACATACGATCGCATAGTTGAAACAGTAGATTTAGAAAGGAAAGATCATGTCAAATATTTTCCGCTTCCATTTACTAAGGCCCATAACCTGGTCTTGTTACTATCTAACGTGGACCTGTTCGTAGAAAACATTATTAATCAATCGCCGAATGACAAATGGCATCTGGGTCTGGTAAAAATCACTCTTGGAATCGAACCAACGACCTTCAGATTTGAAGGAAAGCATTAAAACCTCTCGGCTATCCTGGAGGTCTGCATGGTGGCAAGGCTACAGCTTCAATATGTATACAATAGCAGGTGTCGTATGCTCAGTTTGAAATTTGTTTGATACTCGATCAAATTATTATGTTGGATTTAGTTTAAATTTTCATTGTGCAACTCATTGCTGTGTTTGTTCCAAAAGTTTAATTTTTTAGATGAAACAGTTCTACAGTTTTGGTTTTGATCCTTTAAAATTTGTTAAAAATCCATGAAGAACAGCCTCGATAAAGTTTAGCTGTAGCCATTTTTAATTCAAATTCGACATTTAGTTTTTGGCTCCAGTAATTATCGGTCAAAATAAAAAAGAATGAAAGTTTGACCATAGATTAAACACACTCCTCAGTCTGATTGAACATATGATTTACATTGTTCAATGTACAATATGGCCTAGGTCGATGACGGCGCGGCGAGTGTAAAAGGATGTCATGACCCGTTGTAACTTTGCTGTAACGCTGGTCTGGTAGGAATGCTGGTCGACGACATTCTACAACTGTCCACAGGCGACATTTTATTCCATCTCCTCGATTACGTGTTCAACACTGATAGAAAGCCGAGACTGAACCCGACACCTACAGCTGGACCACTTTCTATGTTTTTGTACTTGGAAGATTTTAACTGGTTGAAAAAAAAACAATAATTTTATGTAATGTAGCGCAGATGTTTGTCGTATGGCTGTTTGTACATTTTTGACGTGATTAGGTTTATTTTTAGTTCAGAGTTTACATCTTTGTATGAAATACGTTGTAGACCCAAAACTTGACAGACTTGGTTGATCTTTCCCGTAAAACTTCTGCAAGAACAAAACTACATGAACATCTGATTTCAAACACAACCATTGGAACTGGTTTGACTTGTTTATTTCGTTGATGCCCTTTCGAACTGTAGTCTATCATATCAACGAGTTTGTAGATGACAGAAGCACTAACCAAAGTGATATCTCATACTTTTGTAAAGGTGCGGTTGTCTTCAAATCTGAAGATCGCACGTTCAATCTCGAAGTTACACGACCAATTGCCATTTTGTGTTGTAAATAACTTTAATAACGTTAGTTATTGTTTCCTCACAAAGAAATTTTAATGATAAACATGCGGTTTATCATTAACCGTTTTAACTTTATTTTAAAATAAAATAAAGTTAAAGGTTCTGTCAATTTTGGATTTTTTTAAATTCAAGGCATGCCTGCTCGGTCAAAATAACAACTTGAGAATCTTATTGTGCATACTGTGATGTAAGTTGGACAGAGATGGCGAGAGATGATAAACAAAGCTGGTTGAGCTCTGGCGTGGAGCCAGATTAAACAGATTCAGTGTCGCCAACACAACACACCAGCGCTAACATCCTACTGCTTGGTACAGTTCTACCAACCCACCGACCTTTGTGGTAATCACACGTTACTTCATAATTGGAGGTATCCAAGTTCATATCGAAGTTAAACATTCGACAGTTGAGTTCGAATGACCAATTTTCGATTACTGTATCAAAAGAGTGTTCGCATACTTTCAGACAAGGGAATAAGTATTTTTCGCTACACTACTGTGAAATTATCTGTTTTCGTTATATGTCTAATTGATTTTAAAATAATTATTTGTACTGTAGTGTAGTGTAACGAAAGTTAGCGTTCAAAACACGAGTGAAAGTCTCTACAATCCCACAACCTTTTCTTGCACTTCTTTCTTTGAAACTTAAATACAGTACAGCGTTTATCTGTGATCATAATTAATGTTGTTATTATTAACCTTAAATTGATTCGTTGTGTGCATTAGCTCCCAAAATACTTTGTACTCAACCTTTGAGGAATCATCGTGAAGGGATAAATTTCGCGTTTACATAAGAATTTTATTCACAAAAACATTTTTGTCGTGCCATGAAGTAATCAAGTGCTATAGTACTAAGCATGTCTAATTTATTTTCTTTTGTTGCAGTTATTCGTGTTGGATATCACGCAGATATTTTTGGATTAAAGGTAAGAAAACAGCTAATCTAATCGCAATTACATTAGCCTTGCAGTAGGCCTATACAAGCACGATTTTAATTCATTCCGGTATGTTTTTCCCTTCGTGATGGCATTATTAATGTTATTCTTAGGTTGTCGGTTACTCATCATTAATTTATTTTAGTGATGAGTAACCGACAACCTAAGAATAACACGATTTTGATGTGGAACGTAACTTCGTAAATCGCAAGATGTACGGTTGACGTAGCCGATCGCAGCTCCAAGGTCAGCTATTGTTGTTGATTACAAGCCTTGTTATCATCCGTGGCAAGGTCAAAGTTGTTACATGTCAAGAGATACAACTAACAATTACAATGGAGTGACTTACAACAGGGGAGAGTATTATGTGATTAGATAGAATAGTATATAATCATTACAAGAGTGGAAAGTGAGTAATTGCATAATTATTTAAGACCATGTTTAAATTGTGAAATTTATCGAACACTTTTATGTATAGACCCACTTTCACTCACTACGCTGCAAAGACTAACTAGGTGGCGTTCGCAGAGGCATCCACAAAATTGAGCGGAGTCATCAAGGGTTTATATTATATTGTTTTGGTCATACTGCAGTAATACCAGTCGTTTTTAATGCATGCGTTGCGGGTCTAAAGTAGCAATTTTACTCTTTAGGAAGTAAAAAAGTTTTTATCCTCTATGGAGTAAAAATAGTTTTTATCCTCTATGGAGTAAAAATCAGCTGTTGTCAACTCAGTTGTAAATTTCTATTATAAACGATTGAATGTATCGAAATATGTATCGATTCGTGCTTCGAAATTATTTTAACCTACAGTCTACAGTCTCTTCCCAAAGCGTTTTAGCATTGCACACTCAACACTGCTCACCTTTACTACTTCCTCACCTCCCCCAACGTCGTGGACCTATTTACCTCTCTTCCCATAACATTTTAGGATTGCAGATATATTAATGTAATTGCCAAAGACAGTTCCCACACTCTGCACTGCAAGCCTTACCACTTCCTTCACCATTTCCTACGTCATAGACTTATTTCCTTCCCTTCTCATAGCATTTTCGAAATAAAGATACATCAATCTAACTGCCACAGACGGTTTTCACACTATGCTCATACTTTACTACTTTCTAAGCCTTTTTTTACATCGTGGACCTGTTTTCATCACTTTCCATAGCAATTTAGTATTTTAGATACGTTAATCTAATTGCCACAAACATTCCGCAATGCTAGCCTTTACTACTTCTTCCACCATTTTCTATGTCGTGGGGATGCTTCCATCCCTTCTCATAGCATTTCATCATTCCAGATACATTAATTTAACTGCTACAAACGGTTTCCAGTTCCCCCACTCCACACTCCACACTGCTCACCTTACTAATTCCTTCACCAATTCATACGTCTCCGAACTTTTCTCTCCCTTCCCATAGCATTTTATGATTGCAGATAACTTAATCTAATTATCATAAACAGTTCCTATACTCCAGACAGCTAGCCTTGACTACTTCCTTCATCACTTCCTACGTCGCGGAACCGTTATCCCCCCTTCCCATAGCATTTTATGATTGCAGATATCTTCATCTAATCGTCATAAACAGTTCCCACACTCCGGACTGCTCGCCTTTACTACTTCCTTCACCACTTCCTACGTGACGGACCTGTTTCCCTCCCTTCCCATAGCATCATAGGATTGCAGATACCTTAATCTAATCGTCATAAACAGTTCCCACACTCCGGACAGCTTGCCTTGACTACCTCCTTCACCACTTCCTACATCGTGGACCTGTTTTCCTCCCTTCCCATAGCATTTTATGATTGCAGATACCTTAATCTAATCGTCATAAACAGTTCCCACACTCCGAACTGCTCGCCTTTACTACTTCCTTCGCCACTTCCTACGCCACGGACCTTTTTCCCACCCTTTCCATAGCATTCTATGATTGCAGATACCTTAATCTAATCGTCATAAACAGTTCACACACTCCGGACAGCTCACCTTGACTACTTCCTTCATTACTTCCTACGTGACGGACATGTTTCCCTCCCTTCCCATAGCATCATAGGATTGCAAATACCTTAATATAATGAAAAGCAGTTCCAACACTCCGGACAGCTTGCCTTGACTACTTCCTTCATCACTTTCTACGTCGCGGACCCGTTTTCCTCCCTTCCCATAACATTTTATGATTGCAGATACCTTTATCTAATCGTCATAAACAGTTCCAACACTCCGGACAGCTCACCTTGACTACTTCCTTCATTACTTCCTACGTGACGGACATGTTTCCCTCCCTTCCCATAGCATCATAGGATTGCAAATACCTTAATATAATGAAAAGCAGTTCCCACACTCCGGACAGCTTGCCTTGACTACTTCCTTCATTACTTCCTACGTCGCGGACCTGTTTCTCTCCCTTTCCATAGCATTTTATGATTGCAGATATATTCATCTAATCGTCATAAACAGTTCCCATACTCCGGACTCCTCGTCTTTACTACTTCCTTCACCACTTCCTACGTGACGGACATGTTTCCCTCCCTTCCCGTAGCATAATAGCAATTACCTATATAATGCAAATACCTTAATATAATGGTCATAAGCAGTTCCCACACTCCGGGCAGCTTGCCTTGACTACTCCCTTCATCACTTCCTACGCCACGGACCTGTTTCTCTCCCTTTCCATAGCATTTTATGATTGCAGATATATTCATCTAATCGTCATAAACAGTTCCCATACTCCGGACTCCTCGCCTTTACTACTTTCTTCACCCAGGGCCGATTTACCGAATAGTAGGCACGTGCCTACGTGCCTAGGGCGCGAGGCAATTGGCTTTTTTTGGGGGCGCCAAAAATTTGGAAATTAAAAAAAAAAATTGTGGTAGTATTTGCATGCTATCGCGGTAAACTTCTGATAACCCCTCGCGGCCGTGTAGGCATCGTAATCGTCTCCCGCGTTTGCGGCAATATTCTTACTTTTTTCTGCAGTCAGGTCGTTTGGACATAAAATTGTCTTCCATGATCGAGGCAATATATGAACATATCCCACGATCGTGAGGAGATTATCATCGTCTACCGCAAATGAGGCAAAATTCTGATATTTTCCCGCGGTCGTGAGGACATTATCCTCGTCTTGCGCGATCCCGGTCAAATTCTGACCACCCCTCGCGGCCGTGGAAACATCTTATCGTCCCCCGCAGTGGTGTGGACATAGTAATGGCCTCCCGCAATTGTGGCAAAATGGTAATCATCTCCCGCGGACATATGGAGATAATCGTCTTCGGCGAATGAGGCAAAATTCTTATCTTTTCCTGCGGTCATTTGGACATTATTATCGTCTTGAGCGATCGCGGCATTATTGTATTCTGCGGTTCTGTAGACATCGTAATCGTTTCCCGCAGTTGTGAAGACATCGTTATCGTCTCCCGCGATTGCGGTAAAATGTTAATAATATCTTCCAGTCGTGTGGAGATCATCATCGTCTTCTACGATCGTGGCAAAATTCTTGCTGTTTCCCGTGGTCGTGTGGACATTATCATCGTCTTCCGTGATCGCGGCAATATTCTGATCATCCCTCGTGGCCGTGTAGAAATAGTTATTGTATCACCCGCGGTCCTGTAGATGTCGTACGTATCCCGCAGTCATGAATCCATGGCAATCGTCTCCCGCGATTGCGGCAAAATTTTAATCATGTCCTGCAGTTTTGTGGAGATCATCATCGTCTTCCGCGATCGCGGCAAAGTTCTTGCGGTTTCCCGCGGTCGTGTGGACATTATCATCATCTTCCGTGATTGTGGCAATATTCTGATCATCCGTTGCGGCTCTGTAGATACCATTATCGTCTTCTGCGATTGCGGAAATTCTGATCATCCCTCGCGGCCGTGTGTAGACATATTATCGTCTCCCGCGGTCACGGAAAGTCACTGTTTTCATGCGCGATCACGGAAAATTGAAAACTCCAGGTTGAAATACAAAATTCACGGTTCAAAAATCTATATCTATAAATAAAAAATATATTGCAAAGGGGCGCTACTATTAGATATGCCTAGGGCGCTGACAGGTTCAAAAACGGGCCTGTCTTCACCACTTCCTACGTGACGGACATGTTTCCCTCCCTTCCCATAGCATCATAGCAAATACATATATAATGCAAATACCTTAATATAATGGTCATAAGCAGTTCCCACACTCCGGGCAGCTTGCCTTGACTACTTCCTTCATCACTTCCTACGCCACGGACCTGTTTCTCTCCCTTTCCATAGCATTTTATGATTGCAGATACCTTAATATAATGGTCATAAGCAGTTCCCACACTCCAAACAGCTTTCCTTGACTACTTCCTTCATCACGTCCTACGTCGCGGACCCGTTTTCCTCCCTTCCCATAGCATTTTATGTTTGCAGATACCTCAATCTAATCTTCATAAACAGTTCCAACACTCCGGACTGCTCGCCTTTACTACTTCCTTCGCCACTTCTTACGCTACGGAACTGTTTCCCTCCCTTCCCATAGCATTTTATGATTGCAGATACCTTAATCTAATTGTCATAAACAGTTCCCACACTCCGGACAGCTTGCCTTGACTTCTTCCTTCATCACTTCCTACGTCGCGTACCCGTTTTCCTCCCTCCCCTTATAATTTTTGATATGCAGATACCTAAATCTAATCGTCATAAACAGTTTCCACACTCCAGACTGTTCACCTTTAGTACTTCCTTTAACACTTCCTACGGCGCGGACCTCAAGCTAGTGTCGTCATTTGATTATTTTATGATCCATACCACCGTTTATGTTCTAATATCTGTGGAATAATGCTATCAGCTATTTATTTATCTACTGCATTCAAAAGTCAACAGCTGATCATATGTCTTTGTTTATATGTCAAATACTGCTTCATAAGGATTACATTGAAACTTTGAGACCCAGTGGGGCGGATTCCTGAGAGTTATTTTTAACGCCATATAGATGTTGGCACTCACCGATATGGTCTTTATCACCATCC